ATTTGAACAGCAAGGTCGACAGTTCAAACCCACTGGCCACTCCTCTACAGGGTCGCTATGAGTCGGAACTGACTAGACAGCACTTATCAACAATATATATGTATATGCTTCATTGGTTTTGCTTCTTCGGGGAGCCCGGCCCAATACTCCCTCCAAAGAGTTGTCTTTCTACTCCGAACTGGTGAGCCACCCTATCTGCTGGAGGACAGAAAGACAGGGCATTGTCAGTGTCCCCCTCTCCACTGTTCCCTCAAAAAATATGGTAGTCAAACATCAGTTGTGGCTGTTGAGAACTTTCCCCTTTCAGGGGCACATGCTAACATCAGAGCTGTGCCCCTACTACTGAGCCCTGGAAGGACAGGGACAGTGAGACTGAGTCCACTAGGAACAGCAGTGCCCGCTCCCTGATCTAGTGTCTTATGTATACACTAACTATGACCACGGTACCGATGCCAGGCAACATGCCAAGTGCTTCACAGGCACGATGTTGTTTAGTCCTTACATCTATCTTGGGAGGCTTTTCACGGGCTAATTTTCAGATGCAGACCCACAGGGTTTTTCTTCCTAGTCCATCTTAGTCTGTAAATTCTACAAAACCTGCTCGGTCAGCATCTTCACACACACACACACACACACACACACACACACACACACACACACCTCGTCCTCCGACAGACAGGTGGTGGCTGCATTGAGGTGCACTGACCAGGAATTGAAACCGGCCCTCCGCAGAGAAGGTGAGAATTCTACCACTTAATCACCAAAGTCTTTGAATATTAAAGAGAGACAATAGGGCCTCAGGGTGAGAGTGCCCTCAGTGTCTTGCCAGAAATATTTCTGTGAAATTTAAAAACATCAGAGATATAAGGAAATTCTAAGTTTCCAAAGAGAAAACGTAGGTCCCTTACAAACAAGAAAGAATCAGGCATCAGATTTCTCAGTGATAAAAGGGTGATAGTTTCAAAATGTGAACTTATTATTTTATCCAAGAAAATTGTTATTTACTTGTGAACATGTAGTAATCATCTCAGTAAGTGATTTCCAAAAGTTATAATTTAACTCCGCTGTTGAACTGACAACACATAGCTGTTTTTTTTTTTTAAACTTTCTAGTCCCTCCTTCCCTACCCTTTTAGCTGAAACCTTCCAAACAATCCAATGAAGCAAATCCCCTTTTTGTTTTCTGTCTTTCCCTTTTCTGTCCCTCTGTCTTCCCACAGCTGGGGAGTCTTACTTGATAACTGGTGCTAGAGGCCCAAAAGTCTCCTCATGAGAGCAAAGCATGTCCTGGGTAACGTTACTGATCAGGGTGGGTTCAAAGAAATTGTTTCCAAATTGATGTCGCTTCCCGCCTGTCTCAATGGTGGCCCCTTTGGAAACCGCATCACTGACGTGCTTCTCCACCTGTGAGAAGAAGAAGAGGAGGAGCCCTTGGAAAAGGTGGCTGAGAACACTTTCTAAATGGTACAATCTCTCAGATTGCATAAACTGCAGAAAACTGTAAGGGATTCTCTTTCATTAATAACAACAAAAAAGGAAACACTGAAAAGCTACAGTTCCTTCTAGGGATGCAATGACATATTGTGTACAATGCCTTCTTCAACCTGGTCTTTGATGTTTTATCTGGTCGACTTTGTTGAGCACTGAATTCTTTTTTAGACCTTCACTCTCAAAGCTTCAGGTCCTCTAGGTGGGACACTAGATGCTTTCAGAGGTATTGCCCTACCTGGAGAAAAAGGCTTTTCTGAGTTTTGTGTATATCAGTGGTGGTGGTGATGGTGGTGTGTGAATGACCCAGAAAACTAAGGAAAAGCTAAATCAGTCACCTTCACGTCTCTGCTCCTCCCATTCCTACTCTCTCCTCCAGTGGATTCTGGAAGGGCTCCCTCCACCTAATAAGCATCACCCTTCTCCGGGACATGCCCACTCTGCTTACATTGTCTGCTAAGAATCTTAACCAGGGTGCATGCTGGATGTCTAGTCTTCTATGAAAAGTCCTTGTACATGACACTAAAAATTTTTTTGTTTTCGTTTTAATAGTAGAATGAAGATAAAATTCTACCTAGCTAGCAATCCAAATTGTGGTATTTTAGATCAAATCATTCCTGACCCAAAATGTCAGTTCCCTTTCCCTCTATCTCTAAATCCTGAACATGGAATATGCGATGACACATTTCCCAGAATATGCGATGACACATTTCCCAGCTGGGATATTTGCTCCAAGGATTTTTTTCTGGAAGGATGTTTTTACAGTCAACGTACCCACGCCAGTGTGTACACTGAAATATCAACAATCTTGAAAACAAGTTTTCCTTTCCTTTTAGGTGTTTGAGAAAAGTAAAGGATTTTGTGTCCCAAGAGTTTAATCTCAGAGACAGGGAAGGATTTTTTTGTTGTCATTGTTAAGTGCTGTCGATTTGGTTCCAACTCATAGCAAACCCATATAGGGTTTCCAAGGAGGGTCTGGTAAATTTGAACCACCAACCTTGCGGTTCAAACCGACCTTGTGGTCCAATGCTTATTCTATATATATTGTTGCTATTGTTAAGTGCTGTTGAGTCGGTTCTGATTCACATTTATTCTGTATAGGGGTTTCTGAGGAGCAGCTGGTGTGTTTGAACCGCCGACATTGCAGTCCAGTGCATTATCCTGCAGCACCATGCCAGGACGCCACAGGAAGGATAGAAACCTCAATTCTCACCACTGAAGAAGGGGAGATAGGGAGGCAGCAGGTGACTAACAGTGACACATCAGGCCACTACCACTACATGCAATAACAGGAGACGGGAAAGCTAATGGCCTGATCATGCCATTCAATTACTTCAGATCAATGGACATGCATTTCATTCATGAGTTCTCAATTGTTTTCAAAATCACCTTGCAGGACATTTTACCAAAGTGGGTTTTTTTTTTTTTTTTTTGCTAATTAAGCTTTTGCTATCAAAACTATAAAGTTTACTAAAATAAACCACAAAACGAACTTACCTTTTCGACGGCTTTTTCATTAATTAATGGGCCTTGAGTAGTTCCCTCTTCAAATCCATTGCCTACACGCAGGTCTCTCTTAATTGCTTCAGCAAATTTTTTCACGAAGGAATCATGGATACCCTTTTGCACTAAGAAACGGTTTGAGCAGACACAAGTCTAAACATAAGGGGAAAAAGAATACAGCTCACCTAGACGGCTTGTCAAAAGCTAGTGTCACATCTAATACATTTATGACTGCTGCTCCCTCTCTAAGTATGAAGATGCTTCCCCACGTGGTTCTCATCATGTGTCCAGCCTGCTATAGTTTTCCCCTTGTGGGCGTGGTCTGAAAGAGGTGCACATTCCTCTCCAATGCCACGCAAGGCTACTGCACCTCTGTGGTTAAACAAACATGCAACTATAAATATCTATACAAAGAAAAAAAGCCACTAACATCAGGTTTCTTTCTTTCTGTTTTTCAAGTGGCTTGGGCAAGCCATTATAAAATGAACAGAAAAATACAAAACAAAACTGCAACCTCTGAGAATCATTGAGTTTGTGGCATTAGAGGGAAGAGGACAGAAGGATTGAGGTCTAACGCTAACTCACATCCTTTAGTTTAAGCCTTCTAAATCTTTGGTTGAAGCTCCCATTCTGAAAATGGACACAAGACAATTCTTGCATGTGCATCACAGTTATTCAAAATATCTTTGCTTATATGTTTAATTGTTGTTATTAAGTGCTATTGAGTCAGTTCCGACTCATAGCGACCCTATACAGGGCTTCCCAGGATCAACTGGTGAACTTGAACTGCCGACCTTGCAGTTCAAACCAACTTTGCAGTCCAGTGCATTAACCCATAGCACCTCACTAGAACTCCATTTTTTCAATTGTTGTTGTTGTTAAGTGCCGTCATGTTGGTTCCAACCCATAGAAAACTTGTATAGGGTTTCTAAGGAGCAGGTGGTGAGCTTGAACCACTGATCTTGCAGTTCAGACTGACTTTGCAGTCCAGAGCATTAACCCACAGCGTCACACCAGGACTCCATTTTTCTAATTAGATCTCTTAAATTATAAAATGAAACCACATTACAAGAAGTGTAGCTATCAATATAAATGTATAAAACTTCTCTTAATCATGTACTTTCCTCACAGAAACAAGTATACACACGACTTTGTGCCCTATGCATTTCTAATGAATGGTTGTACTGACCCAAAGAACAATGCCCCTAAGATGGAGCTTTGTAGTATGATTCTGAAGGCATTTTGTGTTTAAAAAAAACAGAAATACATTTATTTCTGTTTTTAAAAAAGAGGCTTATTTAGTTGTAAAAGGGGAAATGATGTATCAATGCCTGAAAACAGGGATGAAACATTCTATGTAGAATTTTTTTTTATTAAAAGTCAACAAGTCGGGTCCGACTCCTAGTGCCCTAAAAAGGGTTTTTGAGGATTGGCTGGTGAGTTGTTGTGATGAACCACCAACCTTGTGGTTCAAACTGACTACTCAGTCCAGTGTTTATATTACACAGTATTTCATCTTCTTCCCAGTGCAGTCTTTTAGCAGTATTTATTCTGTTTCTCGAATGCATTTAGAGGTTTGGGTGGCACAATTTGCATTAGGGACTAACCAAAAAGGAGACCTGATGGTGCTGTGGGTTAAGCATTGGACTGCTATCTGCATGGTCGGTAACTCAAAACCACCGGGAGAAAGACCAGGCTTGTGCATACTGGTGATCCATTTGGTGGGTTTGAATCACCAACGTTTCAGTTAACAGCCCAATACTGAACCTGCAGCAGGATCAGGGTTCCTTTCTGGTTCGTCTGCTCCTGTAGCAACTGAAGCCTCAGAAACCCTAGGGGGCAGTTCACTCTGTCCTGTACAAGGTGCTATGAGTCAGAATCAACTCTACGGCAATGAGCTTGGTTTTGACTTCTTAACTAAAAGGTGGAGGTTCTAATCCACCTACTCAGAAAACCAGACAATCTGTTTCCACAAGATCAAGGCACCCCTCCAAATCTAAAGCTGTGGAATTGATTTTGACTACTAGCTACTCCTAGGACAAAGTAGAAATGTCCATAGTGTTTCCAAGGTTACAAATCTCTATGGAAGCGGACAGCTGTCTCTTTCTCCTGTGGAACAGCTGGCTGGGTTTGAACCGCTGACCTTTCTGGGTTAGCATCTAAGCACTTTCACTACTGCACCACCACAGCTCCTCTCCATAAGGTTACTGCCATTGAAAACCCCAGGGAGCCCAATTCTATGTTGAAACATGGAGTCGTCATGAATTGGAGTCCACTCGATGCCAACTGGTCGGGTTTTCATTCATTGATGGTCTTTAGATTGCAATGCTTGTGTCTATTTCCTGAGAAACCAGGTTCTCGGCAGTAGCTTGGAGAGAAACAGGAGGCAGAACCTTGGCTCATGGGCCTAGCTCCTTAGCAGAGTGGGGACACTGTACCTCAGATATGTATGACTGTAAGCAATTCAATTAACCCTTCCAGAGCTTCTTTTCCTCATCTCTAAAAGGTAACTTCCGTATTGGATAGCTCTAGAGGCTCCTGCCAGACCTAACTCTCCAGGATTTTCTATTAAGGACTAAACTCAGGCCATCACGTTCCCAAAGACAACCTGGGATACTCCTTGGGCACACTGACGGTCCATGGGCAGACACCCTTTAGAATGACATCCTTCCCATTTCAGTGGGAGGGAGACCTAGGTAGGCAACAGAGTTTTGAGATTTTCAAGGCATTATCCTCATCATTTTTCCACTTTCTGTCCCTTAAAACTATGGCTCTCAGACCACACCTATTCCAGAGGGTTTTGTATCTGAGAAAATGGTTATACCTATTCAGTGAAGAAAAGCCCAATGAAGGAAAACTATGAAAATAACTAGATCCAAAGGGTAGGGGAAAGAAGAGGAGAAAGAACAATCGACTAAAAAATATAAGCTATTTAGGAAATTCCTCAAAGCTAGGAAGTACACCTTACTTCTCTTTAGATCCTTCAAACATGGTATAGTCTCTGGTAAAAAAAAAAAAAAAAGCTTACTAAATGATTCCTGGAAGAGTGTATTAATGAATTAATGATGGATGAATGATGGAAGAAACCCAAAGATGAATAAGGAGTAGAGGTGGTAGCACCTTTGTAAAACACACACATGCACATACAAAGTCACATGCACCCAGTCCTTGAAAACCCTTCGGTGACTCACCTGGCCAGAGTTCCTAAATTTAGACGCCATGGCACCTGCTACAGCCCGGTCCACGTCGGCACTGTCAAATACAATGAACGGCGCATGGCCGCCAAGCTCCATGGAGACTCTTTTCACAGAGTCTGCAGCATAGTGGAGCAGTATCTGTAGGTGGAGGAGAGGATGCTGTGAGCGCTGAAATGAATGACCCAGGACCTTACACCTTTACTTTAAAAAAATTACCCTACAGTGAAGAAATCAAGGTACACAAAGCCAGAGACAGGAAGGCTCTTTGTCTAAGCCCAGGGAGAAATATGAATATGAGAGGGGGGCTTCAAAAATGTGTGGGAAAATTCCATTATCTTTTAATTGTATTTTTCCACACACTTTGTGAAGCCCCCTCAGATACACATGTTTAAACACATTTTGTTTGGAATGAACCTGTACATGTTTGAACAGAAATCTAGTAGCAATACTTTTTTACTTAGCCTGATGTGTGTATGTGAGTCTGTATGCACACATGAGGGGGCTTCAAGAAGTATATGGAAAAATAGAATTAAATGATAATGGAATTTTTCCACAATTTTTTGAAGCCCCCTTGTATTCATATATGCTTAGTATTTAAAGAAAGAAATACTGGTAAAATAATAAAAAACCTAAAGAGAATTAGCTATCAGAATGTCAGGAAGAGGGAGCCATGGACAGGGGTAAGAGTGAGACTTCTCAGTGTCTATTTGGCTGTGATGGTTCAAGTTATGTATCAATGTGCTAACCTTGATTCTGAGTGGTTGTCAATTATGTAATGATGTGGTCATCCTCCATTCACATAACACCTATTTTTGTACAATGCCCTGGTCTTTGGAACTATTTCCTTAAGTGAGAAGTAGTTATACTATGTACAAAGAATTTGCCCCTAGTACCTAGGCTGTAATCTCTAAACCTGTAAAATTTCCTGAGTGACTAAACTATCTTTGTTAATTATCATAGTTCATTCCCAGAGGGTCTTTCCTCTGTGCTCAAATAGATGTAAGATGATGCAACAGCTAATACCCAAAGGGTTTTGATACACAGCTTTATCAATATAGCTTTACAATGGAACCCCAGAAACAGAAATGTTTGAGTAAGCAACTGTTATGGCAGAGTACCATAAGAAAACCATCTAGTCTTTGTGCGTGACAATGCACAAATGTTTGCAATTATGTATCCTTCACGGATTATGTAATCCCACATATATGTTATCCACCTATCTCTGATGAATAACTAGAACATGGAATGTATGAAATATGAATGTAGGAAAATTGGAAGCTGTCAGAAATGAAATGGAACGCATACAGATTGATATTCTAGGCATTAGTGAGCTGATATGAACTGTAACTGGCTATTTTGAATCTTACAGTCATATGATTTACTATGCTGGGAAGGGCAAATTCAAAAGGATTGGTGTCACTTTCATTGTCTAATCATCTCATATGTGTATGAATGTTGGGCATTGACTAAGCAAAACTAAACGAATCAATGCATTTGAGTCATGGTGTTGGAACAGAATATTAAAACTATCACGGACTGCCAGAAGAACTAATAAATCTGTATTGAAAAAAGTACAGCCAAAATGCTTCTTACAAGCCAGGATGGTGAGACTTCATCTCTCATACTTTGGACATGTTATCAGGAGGGACCAATATCCGAAGAAGCACACCAGGCTTGGTAAAGTGGAGGTTCAGCAAAAAATAGGAAGTCCCCAATGACACGGACTGACGCAGTGGCAGCAGCAATGGACTCAAACCTAACGACTGTGTTGATGGCTCAGGAGTAGGTAGTGGTTTGTTTTAATGTGCACAGGGTCACGATGAGACAAAACTGACTCAATGATACCTAACAACAAAGCACCTGTCCCTACTAAGTCCTTACTCTCAGATATCACACCTTAGACTTCCCTGATTGTCTCATCCATTCATGATTTTATAACCTTGGTTCCTGTTTCAGCTACACAAGAATGCTGACTGACTTATTATTCAGTGGGTTGACCATCTTCAATTAATGAGTTTGGATGTATTCCTAGTCCAACCGTCTCTGGACATTCAATATATCTTGTAATTTTACTTTTCGAGAGTGTGTTTTTAGTTGAGGATACTTGGAGGGCTAGGCCCTTCAGCTTGTGAGATGTGACCCAGCTCTAGTGGGTAAGTTTAGAGGAGGAGGCGTCAGAGAGGAGAGTTGCTAGAGTTGGTGTGTGTTAGAGAAGACACACCTTCTAATATACCAGGCCACTTGTTGTAACTCACTGGCCAACCTATGAATCTGCTTCCTTGGGGACAGATTGTCATGGTTCAATTCTCTGTGGAGGAAGAGTTAAGGTATTAAATGCAATAAAATGTGGTTACTGCTCCCTC